TTAAACCTAGTCGCTTTTCGATTTAAGATCAAATAAACTTAGTTAAAATACTCTTAATGGTTGATATGTTTAACTTCAGTCAGTTAGATTTTACCAGGTCTCTTTATGAATAGAGTCGAGCTACTTACTTACCTACTTATACACTTATTTACTTACTCATGTTATCCAAAATGAAGCATTGGCCGTCGACCAGCATTCTCCAACCTACTTTGTCCTGAGCCTTGCTTTCTAGTTCTTCCCAAATGCTATTTTATTCTTTTGATGTCTGCCTCCGACTCTCGACAAATTTTGTCCCTCGGTCTACCTCTTTTCCTTGGAATCCTCCTAAAAAAAGAAGACTAGGGAACACATTGTGCCGAGAATTGGAAATGAAAATGAAGAGAATGGATAACAATCAGGGATTCATCCAAAAGATACAAGTGTTTATCAACAGTTGCCTACGTCAGATACTCCTCATTCGTTGGTCAGTAACAACCAATAGTAGGAGAGAACATACGAGATTATAGCTGACGAAGAAATCTGAAAAAAGCATTCTAGGTGGATAAGACACCCAGCTGCATTATGTGGCAAGCGCTAACTTTGATTCTTCAAAGTTAAAATAAAAGAAGAATTCCAAATAACACATTGACTCAGGAATCCGCATCGGAAGTAGACATGAAAGGAATGAATATCATCTGGGAACAACTGTAAAGGAAGGTCGGGGACAGAGTTGTTTGGAGAATGCTGGTCGGCGGCCAATGGTCAACGAAGGATAACAGGTGTAAGTAAGTAAGTAAGTAGGTAAGAAAGTAACTCGATTTAATCCAACAACAAAAATACAGCGTTATATAGTCAACATATTTTATTTATGATTATAATAGTAAACGTTGCATAACAGGAAAAGCGAAACTATTTATTAGTATTCTCGGTACGCTGAAGAACAAATATGTGTAAATTTAAAAATTCAAGATACAAACTCCTTAATGAATCAAGTTACGAAAGAGGTAGATAAAATGTGATCGGTACTAAAATCATTCATTGAATCGTATTTGGCATAATTACAAACTAATCGGCAGGCTAGCATTTATCCATGTGGCTTAGCTTCGAATCCTGTTTTAAGAGTGTTATATATATATATATATATATATATATATATATATATATATATATACTTACATACTTACTTGCTTTAATTACCCCCAATGGAGCATAGGCCGCCGACCAGTATTGTCCACCCTATTCTGTCCTGGATCTTTCTTTCTGGTTCTATCCAACTTCTGTTCATTCTTATCAAGGCTGTTTCCACTTTAGGTGTAATATGTTCCTTGGTCTTCCTCTTTTCTTTAGACCTTGATCATTCCAAGTGAGGGCTTATCTTGTGGCGCAATTAAGTACTTTCCTCAATGTGTGTCTAATCTCCGTCAAGCACACTTTCCCAATTTCCTCATCAGTTCGAGTCTGGTTTGGTCCGTCGCCCGGTAGTTTATTGATGATGGGTCTGGCTAATAGATTCTCAGTAGACAATTATTAATTAAAACTCGTATTTTTTGGATAATGCCTCGCGTAGTTCTTCAAGTTTCCGCCCTACACAGAAGAAATGTCTTGACATTTGTATTGAATATGTATATATATATATATATATATATATATATATGTTTGCCCATAAATATTTATAAATCAGAAATATAGTTATTCATTTTACATCCAAATGATACGAGAACTCAATAAAGACTACATACATAACTGATTGAAAGATATAATAAAAAAAGCGTTGCTTAGCAGAGTAAACAACAGATAGTTGATTATAGAGTGTTAGCTACTTAGCGCACTATTTCAAACATTTTACTTGTAAAAATAATAGTAATAATAATCATAAAAAATTCATACAATTAAATTGACATAACTTGTCACTCAGATAAATTTTATGAAACTTTATTTTTTAAACAAACAGAAAAATAAAGGGATGGAAATATATATATCTATAGACAATGCACAGTAAATTTTTATTCTCAACCGGAACCAAAAGAACACAAAATTTTATGCAATACATAAAAATTACATTTTCATTTTATCTCACTTTTTTATGAGAGAAAAATAAATGAAAATTCACAACTTTATGTTGTTTTACTCTTGATTATATATGAATAAATGTGTGAAAACTAAAATTTCAATTTCAATTTTTCCGCCACCAATAATAGGCGGATATAAACAAACACAAATTGAACAACTTATGTTCAGCGCGCATTGTACATTTAAACAAATTAATGCAACCAAATTAACATGGAATGCATAATGAAAAACAATGAAAACAACAGTTTATGATAAATCATAATATTGAAAATTGAATTCAACTAAACAAGGTAGCATTTAAAAATTAAATATTCAAATATATATGTGAGAATTTAATGAAAAGTAATTAAAATAGAAAAAAAATTTATAAAAAAAACGTATTCTACTGAAATTTTTGAAATTTCCTGTAGCGTAATATGTTGCACACATTTATTATTGTGTTGCATATTAATATACTATTACTAACTGAGATTATGAGTTCTCGTTGTTTGACATATATTACTTACATTCACCTGTTACCCCTAGTGGAGTATAGGCTGTTGAACAGCATTCTCCAACCTAATCTGTCTTCGGGCCTTCCTTTCTAGTTCTCTCCAATAGTTGTTCATTCTTCTTATGTCCATTTCTTGGCGTAATATGTTGCTTGACTTTCTTTTCTGCGTCGGCCTTGAGGATTCCAGATGAAGGCTTGTTTTATGACACATTTGGATGCTTTCCTCAATGTGTGTCCTATCACATTGGTGGTACACATACTAAAATTGGTATATATTTATATATAATTAGATAATCACTCGTTAATAGATAGATCCTGTAGAAAAATTTTAAAAAGTAATGTCACTGTTTAACTGTTATAAGTTACATGTTGAAAAGGTAGCAAAAATATATTACGAACATAATTTCGTAGTCAATATTCTTATTAATTTCGCATTGGTTTGAATCCTTTCTGATGATTGTTACGACTAAAATTGATCAAAACCTTATGGTACATACATATCCTGAACAGATTCTTTGAGCGATTTCAGAGTTTGAAGTACAGTTAAATAATGGCTAGTAGCTGAATCTGCGTTGAACTCATTCCGCTCGACAGTTCAACTTTTAAAGCGTAACGTACAACTTTCAACTAAACATCAACATTGGGATACAGGTACATTCAGCTGGCTAACAGGATGAAACATACATTTTGAATCCCAGTGCCAACCTACTATTCAAATAAATTTAAAAGTGTAAACACAGTTTGGAAGATAAGGTCAAAATTTCTTATTTAACATGACATTCACTCACTAGAACCATGGTAAACAACATACAGTTGTTTTTGAACACATAAAGTTGGACTTTTCCGACCAATCAAGATAGCTTCGAGTAGTTTCATTGTGTGTGGGTTTTGATGACATGTCACAACTTTAAAGGATGATTTTGGGTCAATTTGATGACCATTCATCATTAGATGTTTTGCGATAGACGAGGCTGGGTTTCTTGATCGATTTTGAGATGACGGGCTAGGTTGATGAATCATGGATTTGATTAACCATTTTGGAATATGTTCTCCTATCCTGTCTTCCAATCGGCGATCTGTCCTCCCTACACACATTGAAACTACTTGAAGCTATCTTGATTGGTCGGAAGAGTCCAACTTTATGTGTTCAAATTTAAGTGTAATTTTTTTACAAAAAAATTAAAAATTGAATTTGTTTTAATGCGACCAGAAAAAAATACTAAAAAGTTGTCTAGTCTTTTTTGGTTTTCAGTTATCACACCTTGAAAAATTTAGTGTTGATAAATAAATAAAAAATGAAAGTCACAAGGAAAATTAATTTTAATAAATTTTATTACTTTTAGTGTTAAATTAAATTTGTTAACTTTCCAATTGATTACATAATGATTAGTAATTAATATTTATGAGAATAGTAAGAAATAATCAATTGTTGAGTTGAACTTGAAAAAAAAATGGTTAACAGATTGAAATTTTTATCATTTTACTTATTGACTTTTTTTAAGTAAAATAATTTACAAGTTTGTAGACAGCGTATTTTTTTTTTAGAAAAAAACTGTAATAAATCAGTAATTACAAACTAATGATTTGTGAAGATAGTTTCACAGTGAAGCTTAACATAATGAAGACTGAACAGAACTAGACAGCAGTCGCTTTTTCCTAGTTCAAGTTCCTTTAGTATTGAGGTGTTATGGATGAAGTTTAATGGTTTATCCTCTCAATATCAGTTGAGGCATGCTATCAAAATGTTAATATGTGAGTACTGTATCAAGTTTTTAGCCACTAGGTCAGTTTGGGTGAAATTTTCGACACAGACGTTTTGGTTTGACTTATAAAAAGTATTATCCTTTCAATTATCACCGAGAGAAGATAGTTAATAAGACTTTCCTGACAGTGGTTATCTGCATATGATCATTTGAGAGCATTATAAACGAGAGAACAGACTCAGCCGTATGATTACATTTCAGGGTAACAAAACAAATAGAACATTTCTTATTTGTGATATATAAAATTCGATATATTTCATTTTAAATATTAGCCGAACAGAGTTCATTTATTCGATAGGCATCATCCCCATATTCTTTTATCTCTTAATGATAATCCGTATCACACTGATTGGTTCATGATTTAAAGAAAGTAATTCAGTATTATTCACAACTGCATCATGCTGATTACATGTGCTAACTGGCGTCGAGTTCCATGAGGAGGTTTCTTAGAGTTCTAGTGAGAAGTCGTTACCAGTGGGGTTCAAGCCTATTCGGGAGTGAAGCAGTGCTCATCGAACACAGTGGATGAAGTTGCGCATTAACACCGTCAGATACCGACTCAGTCATCCATAGGTTAACTGAAGTTCCTGGGTTCGAATCCTGCTAGTTGCAGGAGTCTTGGATGTGCACTGCCGATGAGCCTTATATCAGAACAAAATGGCCGTTCAGTGCTTCTAGGTTTCTAATGGTGATCTACCAATAATCGATTCATGGTTTCCGAAAATCTCTGCCTGGCGCACTTGTGCGGCAACTACCACTGATCGGAAGCCCGAATAGAAGGGAAGAGTTAGCCGTGTGGTTAGCTAGCCTATCCCTAAGAAAACTAACTCACCAAAATGTCGTTAATCATAAAGTAGGATTCACAAAATAATTTATATATAATCAATTCTTTAATCTGTTTTTTTTCTCCTTTTCTTTCGAAAATAAAAATAATCTTAATTCTTTTTGTAGAACATTGTCCAGAGTTCAATTTATTGCGTTCTGTACAAAACACAGCATCCAATTCTCCATGTGATCATATCTTGTTGAAAGATTCCACTTATAGAACAATCAATCCAAACATATTCAAGCATAATAATCCACAACCATGCACTAATTTATCATGTGTATTCAATCCCAATTCACAGATTATTCATAATCCTAATAATCATAGTAAATACAATACAATCTCTGCTATAAATAATTCTTTATTAACTAATGATTTCATGATTGAAATGAATCACCCTCAACTGGATGAAAATCCTTATACTTTATTAAAAACTTCAGATATGCGAAGTTTTTGCAAAGATGCTCCAACCACAAATTCAATAACAACAACAACAACAACAATAACAGCAACATATCAACCATTATATTCAACATCATCAAAACAATTATGTTTAACACCGATTATTTATGAACACAACAATACCAACAGTAGTGATAATAATAACGATGAAAATGAATTTCAAAAACCTACTGATACATTGAATAAATCATTAGCCGCGAAAATCAATCATTCAGAGAAACAACAATTCAGCGTACTGAATAATTGCGCACAATTGAACGATGAACATCGGAAGTGAACTTAATTAAAACAAATATCGAATTCCCCCTAAAAAAATAGAGAAACGATAAAAGTACTGATATTCTTGTATAAAAAAATAAGACGATTTTATTCTATGTAAATGAAGTACACATTGTATTAATGTTGATTATTATTGTTTAATAAAAACTGACATTTATTTTAAAGTAATTCATTAATCTAGTTAAAATTGATATGATATTCTTTGGTTTAACACTACTGGTTGACAGTGAAATACAAGATGTGCAACTAATTTTTTATTTTGGAACTTCTATCTGTAATCAAACGTTGCGGCGTTCACATTAGGACTGTGTGTATTATGTGATTTTTGTATTTGTAATGACAAGTTAGTAAGTTATCTCGGTTGTTTATAATCCAGATTGAATTTCGATCAGTTTATGTTTGCATTTGAACACGTAGTATTAATTACTCTTTCGAAAGGAATTCATTAAATTGACGAATGATTAAGTTGGGATTAGAGAATCTAGGATAGTTTATAATTGAGATAATACGGAAAATTTGTAGCTGAAAAAGATCACTGTGATGGAGTTTCGTTCTCTGAGCTGTATATCTTTATTGTGGAGCTTTCATTGTTTTTCTACTGAACAACATAACAGCACAAACTTTAGATAGAATTAAAGTATTCGAAGTTAGCCGCGTATAACTCCTAGCTTATATTCTGATGACTTCAGTCTTGATCGGATCAAGAAACAAATCAAAGGGTGATATAATCAAAATAAAGATACAAACAATGACAGGTTTGAAAACATTACCAACCAATCAAGATCGAGGTCAACAGAACAAGCTGAGAAACCGGAATACTTCACTTCTGAGATGGTGGAGATTATCTTACCATACATAAAAGACATATTGGAGCATACAGCATGACTATTGAAACCATTTGGAATAGGTGTGGCGCACAAACCAACAGAATCACTTCAATCAATCCTATGTAGACCAAAGAACATAACGACGAAAGAAGAAAAACCAAATACCATCTACAAAATAAATTGCTCAGATTGTGAAAAACACTACATAGGACAAAGTAGACGTCCTGTTCAGCTTCGTTTACGTGCACATCACTTAGCAGTCAAACGCCGCGACAACGCTTCATTTATATCAATACACACCGACAATTATGGACACACATTCGATTGGAACAACGTGAAAATACTGGATAGGGGAGCAGAAAGCACACTAGAGTATTCATATCAACTCAGACATTATTCGCTTTTCAAACTGTTTTATGAGCTCAATGTTGATTGACGGTATGAATTAAAAACATTCACACATAATCCACATGAACCTACCGAATTCATTTATGACGAACTCCGCATTTTGAAACAGTTAACTCTAATCGGCAATTTATTGTCAAAATCAGAGTTAGGCACTAACAACGTTGGATAGTGCCGGTCCAGTGGTCCAGAGATTAGGTGTTCGCGCGCGAAACCGAAGATTCATTGGTTCGAATCCTACAAGCAGCAGGAGTCGTGGATGCGCACTTCCGAAGAGTCCGATACCAGAACGAAACGGCTATCCAGTACTTCTACGTTTCAAAATGGTGGTCTAACAATGAATAATTGATTGATTGATTTCAATGTGTAAAAATCACTTTGTAAATACTTTTTAAAAACTATATCATTCAAAAAAACAAAGGAGCTTGGTGGAAAGCAGAATTATTGAACATCACTATCTCTTTAACCATAAATATAATTAATTCCAATCAGGGTTATGGAGATTAGTGTTTTTACACATTTTAAATCACCAATAAATCATTGTTAGAGCAAACATTAGAAACCAAGAAGCACTGAAAGAAGGCTGTTTCGTCCTGGCATGAGACTCATCAGCTTTGCTCATCCACGACTCCTGCCCCCGGCAGGATCCCAACCCCGGACCTTCAGTATTGTGCGAGAACGCCTAACCTTTGGACCACTGGGCCGGCATCCAACGATGTTAATGTCTAACTCCGATTGATCTAGGGATTTTGTGTGACCTCACCTGTTTGTCCTTGTTAGTCACTGATATTTTTTTAATAAAGTCTACCAGATAATTTAGAAAAAAATACCATATTTCGTCTGATTTATTTAATTTTATTATATTTTTTGTCAACAAATTATTTCAATTGTTAATTGAACATGATCAGTTTCACTGATATATATATATATATATATATATATATATATATATATATATACATGTAAAAATGCCCACGTTCATTCTGGTCTCATTGAGGCAACAATTTAACATTGAACAACAACAACAACAACAAACAAATCATTTAATACTACAATACTCTATCATAAATTTTATTTTAATTCATCATTGTGTTTATTGTTACTATATCAACAAGTGTTGTTTTTTTTGGCAGAAAATGCAATATATGTATATGTATATATGTATATATAAATGTGGATAGTTACTATCATAAATTTTTATCTGAATTGCAATTACAATTTAATGACATACATATATATGTTTTTTATATCTAGAGGTACCATAAAAATTTGGGATTTTATTATCAAGTTAGTACTTATGTTTAATGATTTTATAGAGATGAGATTTCATGATAGGCAGCGTTTAATTTTTGTACACATTAAAATCATGAATGAATCATTGCTAGACTACTACCATTTGAAACTTGAGAGCACGTGATGGTCATTTTGTCTTGGCATGGCAGTGCATATCCACATCCCTTGCTACTCAAAGGAGTTCGAATGCAGGACCTCCGGTTTTGCGCGCGAATGCCTAACTTATAGACCATTGACCCGGCATCCAACTGTGGTAATGTTTAACCCTATTTAGTCTTGCGCAACCTCAACAATTGTTTTCGGTAGTTACTGCCTACAGCCGAGACGCTTGAACTTTTTTCAAGAAGATCATTGATTATGAATTGTTATTCACAAGTTTATTGAAATGAAAACAATGAATCGGAACAGAATAACATGATTTTTATCGATTTTTACTTACGATTCGTATTGTTTCAACTTTGAATTGATTTGTAAAGCTTAACATAGTTGTCAAAATGGAAATTTTGAGAAAAAAAATGAGTGAATTTAAAAAAGCAGTCAAGTATAATTATAATCTATACTGAAAATGTGAAGTATCAAATTCATGCCAGTTCTCTGGCATAAACAAATTGATACACAGATTGTAATTTTAAATGTAGAGGACAGATATGTCATATTAGACTGTCTGAAGTATTCTAGTTCGAAAATTTGTTTAAAAAGTATTACAGTAATACAAGGCATCGTTCAGGAACTAGTCATTCTTTTAAATCTTGTTGTTGTATGAACAATGTATTCAGTATCGTTTTCAGTGGCCTATCGAATCGGCTATCATCTTCTACAATTAAAGAAATCTAAAACGGACACAGAAAGCATAGAACTACGAGAGCACTAATTTACTACGACAGATCAGTCTGGTTTACCTGTGATACAAGTGCAAGGTTATTTTATAACTTATTGTTCGGCTTAGATACTGTACAAATTAGTTAAATTTACAAAGAACAGTGTGAGTGTAAAGTAAATGCAATTAAAGAGGTTTAACTAATAGTCTCAATGGTAGAAACGATTAAACATTTAGAGTTCCTATAATCCCACTTGCTGAATGGTACATACTTCCAGGTGTATAGATATTTGAGGCACATTTTTTCTAAAAGAGGTAATAAGCATCATTTCAACGAACAAAGGATGGAAGGGATTTTATTTCACAGACAAATTATGGTTTAAATAATCTTGAGTCTCGAAAGTAAATCATCCTGCGAGAAGATTTAGAAAGAGGTTTTTCCACTGCTGAAAAAGGGTTATAAAATCTATAGTTAGGAGTTTGTGCATATCGAATAACTTACTTACTTACTTACTTACTTAGCGTAGTAGTTTGACGAAAAAGATCAGATTTATTTTGAAGTCTCCTCTTCCACAAAGAATCGATTTCACGTTTATTACATCAGGATTTATAACTTAAAGTACAATCAGATGCAAGAATGAGAAGTGCGAAGCGTTCCCGAATGGATTTCAGACTTCATTTCTCCTTTTTGCCAACAATACTTAGGATAAAAGTGTAATATTCAAAGAATGGACGAACACATAGTTTGTACACTAAAATACGTGACTCATTGTTACGGCGATTACAACTTATGCGACTCATAAGACATTGAGACTTGGAGATCTGTTTAGGTACCTATTCTGAGAAGGACAAAGTATAGGAGTGCTCGAGCCTCTAGTTTCATTACTGTTTGAAATTTCGATAACACCTCAACATTTATGGTTTTATCAATGCTGAGTAAAGGATTAATTAAGCAGATACATTCATATTATTTGGCGGTATCAAGCTGTAATTTCCTATTTCGAACACCACTGGGCCACTTGACTGAGCTCCATACTGATTCAGTTTCCCGCATCCTTCAGAACATGATGAAAGAACGAATATATTGCTGTAAGATGATCTGCATATATCAGAGGCTTACTTGATTATCATATGTAAATGGAGTTTCTTGAATGTTGGCTAGTTCAGGATTAACGAAACTTGGGAGATAATGAGTTCACTGAAATAATTTAACATAAATTATCTATTAACAAGATTTCGACTAAATATATATTTTACAAAAAAATTTCTAAAATAAAATCAAACTGAATAATGATACAGTAACGTGGTCATATACGAAATTATAAACAGCAATTTACAGAAATAACCAGTTTATTATGGAATATGAATAATAGAAGATGAAAACGCTTACTTTCTTGACTCAGTCCATATTTAATTTATTTATTCTCCTAATAGATCTGTAAAGATTGTTGAGTTTCATTGAAATTGTGTGAATTGATCAGTATTCGACCACCATTAGAAACCTGAAAACATAGGACGGCTGTTTTATCCTGTTATAAGACCAATCAGAAATGCAAATTCACGACTCCTACTCGCTGGAATCGAATCTAGGACCTATGGTCTCACGCGCGAACTCTTAACCATTAGACCAATGACTCCGCATTTGATGCTGGTTTCGATGAAACTCAGCAATCTCCAAAACTGACTAGCGATTAGCTTTGTGAGGAAATTCTCACAGTCCTAGTGACAAGCTGTGCCGTATGTGGCAGTTATCCACCGATTGAGCAGGTTGCGCGATATCTATGAATTAATTTAAGTTAGAAGTTAGCAGTGCTGGATGCTG